GAGAACAGGCATTCATCAGATCTAGAGTTACAGGCAGTTGTAAGTCATGCAACATGGATGATGGGGGTTGAATTTGGGCTGATCTTCAAGAGCAGTATGTATTCTTAATTGCCAAGCCATCTCTCAGCCCTGTTTTGTTTTTGAGATGGGGTCTCATGCAGCCCCAGTTGGCTTTGAGACTATTACATAGCCAAAGATGACCTTGTACTTCTAATCCTCTTGCCTGTACCTTTGAGATGCAGGCTCTGGTTTTATGCAGTACTGGGTATGAGACCTTTGTGAATGCTAGGCACGTGATTCCCACAATGAACCCATGGCCCAGGATCTTGCTTCTGAATCTACTTGTCCCCTTAGTTTCCAGCAGTGCTTGGTAAATAGGAGGCAGTAAATGTCTGCTTGGTAAACTTGGTAAACTTCTGACTAGCTTTCATATAAAGATGTTGGAAAAGTCAGTTTTGCTTAAAAATGAAAGTTATGACCAGTCTTAACACACATGCACTCTAAGCAAAATTGCAGCCACTGACAGCAGCATGGAAATGATGGCCATGCTGCGAAGGCACTCCTGTTAATGTTTAGTGCCTATGTCATCAAAATAGGCGTTGTTGGATGGGATTGGAAACAGTTGTGTTCTGCCTTTTATCACGCTTCTTATCACTTGTTGAAGTGAGACTCTGAACCCAGAGTTCTTGCTCTCTTCCTAAGTCAGTCCATGACTGACTTGGAAAATGGAGTTGATGCTACAGGTTAATGGTTTGTCTGAATTACCTTGAGGCCATGTCTGAATTACCATCTTTGTGTTATGACACTCTGTAATACCTTGTCCTTGTGGGAATTGTTTTTCAGCCCTGCACAGTCTCAACATTTAGTTTTTAGTTTTAATCCTTTCTCTTATGCAGTGGTTCTCAACTTTCTTAATGCTTCAACCCTTTAATACAGTTCCTCATGTTGTGGTGACCCTCAGCCATACAATTATTTTCATTGCTATTTCATAACTGTAATTTTGCCACTATTATGAATCATTATGTAAATGCCTGTGTTTTCCAATGGCCTTAAACAACCCTTATGAAAGGGTGGTTTGACACCCAAAGAGTTGAGAACCCCACAGATTGAGAACCCATGTAAAGTATGAACCATGTTTCATGCTTGATCTGGCCTAATCTTGGTGTTAGACCATGATTGTTATAAGTGTATTTCCTTTTGTGAACATGGGCAAGCAATTTCTGGAGGTTTATTGAGCATGGCACTAAACATGGAAAGAAGCTAAATTTCTAGCACCTGAAACAGCTATTTAGAAGATTATGGTAGTTCCTAGACACTCTTAGATGCTTGACACAGTAGGCAACACAAGTGCATTGAGTGTTCTGAGATAGTGTCTCCTGATGTGTTCTTACTCCCTCCTGTCATTTTGTGTCCCTTCTGGCTTGTGGCGTTAATTGTGGTCTGGTTTATGGTGCTACTTTCTTCATGATTGTTTTCATTTGCGCGCGGGTGGAGGTCAGAGGATATCCCTCTAGAGCTGTCTCTCTCTTCTACCCTGTAGGTTTTGGAGATCAAACTCAGGCTGTCAGACTTAGAAACACCCCTACCCCATAACCTTTTGTTTTGAAGATTTCTCTTCTTCCTCACTTGGTTTCCTGTATCTCTGCTGCATTGTTTCTAAATTGCTGTCCCTCAGGCCCTTCAGATCTACTTATAAGTTACCTCTGAGTTTTGTTCTTTTTTTTGTTTTTCTCTTTCTGATCTCCTACTGAAGAAAACTGACCCCCCTCTGAGCTAGTACATTAGTTTCCAAGGTCTGCACACCTTCCAATACCCATGGCTTAAAACACTGGGAATTATCTTTCTGCACAACTTCCACTACTCATGGCAGAATTATTTCTTCCGAGGCTTGATGCCTGAAATGAAGGCCTTGGCAGGATGTTTCGTCCTGCGGTTGCAGGGACCTGCAGGCCTCCTGGTCTGGGATCACATGAGTTTCTGCCTCTGTCTTCATGTGCTTTCTGTGAGTCCACAGCCCTTTTTCCATTCTCTTTTAGGAGCCACTGCCAGTGGATAATCCCGATGATCCAGAATGGTCTCTTCGTCTCAAGATCCTTAACTCTGCTTTGCTGAAAGCTGGGTGTCAGCGGGCCCTGTGTGGCTTGTGCTTCCTATCCCTCTACAGACCACAGCTATCCCGACCTCCAGGGCCGACAGCTCTTCTCACTTTTTTTCACATTGCATCCTAACCCAGTCTCCTCACTTGTCTTTATCTGTTTCAGGCATCCACACACTGGGAGCTGTCCAGCTCATCTTCCATTGCTACTAAACTCTTCCAGTGGCTGAACGTCACACTCTGAATCCTGCTTACTTCCTCCACAGATCCTCTGCTCACAAGGCCATGGACAGAGTTGCCCCTCCTTCCTTTTTCTTCGTTCTCTCTGAGGGCTGCAAATGGTTCTGCTGGCCTCATCCACTTGGGCCATAGACATGCTCAGACCCTCCCCGTCTAAGGAACCTTTCCTTCACCTTGCTGGCTGTCCACATTCCTTTCGTGAAATGTACTGTCCACCGAACTGTTGACTATGTCTCTTTCATTTCCAAAGGACACTGTTCTCAAAAGTTGGTAGGGACCTCCTCCTAGCATTGTCAGAAGGTGGAGAGGTGACTGCTTCATCAGTTGCAATAAGGATATGGCTTTCTCAACACCCCATCTCAATCTCTTGTAAATGGGAATAATATTAATACCCATGGAGCTGCTGGAGAGAATTAATTAAGGTGGCACACATGAGGCATATGTAGGGATGCCTGGCAAAGCATATGTTGTATGTCATGTGTTTGGTATTTCCTCCTAAATTATCTTTTTATTTTGTTGTTGTTTTAATACTTTTTTTATTTAAGACTTATTTTTATTTAGTTGCCCAGAGAGGCCAGAGGATGGTGTCAGATCCCCTGGAGTTGGTGTTTCAGGCCATTGTGAGCCATCTAACATGGGTGATGGGAACAAAACCCTAGTGCTCTTAACCACTGAGCTATCTCCCCACCCTCAAGCTCCTCCCTTTTTTTTTTTTTTCCTCTGTAGCTTTTGCCCATTTAACCTACTTGACTTCTTTTTAGTCTGTTCATTCTTCTGAGGTAAATTAATTTGGGGGTCATTTAGCCTTAGTCCTCCCATGTCGTCTACATACATGGGCACATTACCTTCTTACATCCATTCTAGATCATTTTTCTGGTAATTCACAAGTCTATTTCCATTCAAACTGCTCCAGATTGCCTACCCCTTACTCAGGTCCCTTTGGAAGCCTCTGTTCACTTGATAGTAAAGTAGGTAGGGTCCAGGTGTGTCTCAGGAGTCAGGAACCTGGACATTACTGCTGGAGATGTATCTCCTGTGCAGAGATACTATGATATCCTTTTTTTTTTTTTTTTTTTTTTTTTTTTTTTTTTTTTTTTTTTCTGAGACAGGGTTTCCCTGTGGCTTTGGAGGCTGTCCTGGAACTAGCTCTTGTAGACCAGGCTGGTCTCGAACCCACAGAGATCTGCCTGCCTCTGCCTCCCGAGTGCTGGGATTAAAGGTGTGCTCCACCAACTCCCGGAGCTCAAGATACTATGATATCCTTGCACATGGTTCAGCCTCATCATTTATCATCAATGCTCAACACTTCCAGTGAGCAGAGCTGGATGTGGGGAGGATGGTCGACACAAGTTTTTTTTTTTTAACAAAACTCTTAATTTTTGTATGGTGGAGAAGGAGGCCCATTCATGACACCCCTGTCATAAACCCTAGATAGACCACCTAGACGATTTTGTAAACAATTGAAGTTTTGAAGTTTTTTCTTTTTCCTTTCCCCAAGGTGTTTTTATGGTGTTTTTCTTCCTTTTGAAAGGATAACTAGCAAACAAGTTGGATTTATGTCTCATTATATAGAGGGAAGTAGAAAATGAGCTAATTAAAGAACATACAGCATGGTTTTAATTAAGCAGTGGTGTTTTTTAGTGTATTTCTGAGCTGTCTCAAGACATAGGGGCAAAGCCGAGAAAGACAACCTTATTGAGTTACAGTTTCTTACAAATTGGAGTAAAAATTTTAGATTTTTTTGAAGTCTCACCAGGGAGAGATTGCATTTGCTATTAGCGATAATTAGCTAGGATATAGCTGAATGCAGGTCAGCTTAACTGTGATGTTGGGAACTCTGTCCTGATGGTTTGTTTAGTGTGACTTGTCAGCATATTACTGAGTCCCTGTCATCTGCTCTGCATTTAAGCACATCTTCATTCCCAAATGGGTTCCTATCTTTAGGGACCAAACCCATGGGGGCCACTTGCCTGAGGAATGGAATTTTCTTAGCTGTAAATGATTTAAAGAAAACTAATAGATTTCTTCCCATTGATGAGCATGCTCCCCAGCTTCTCCTTATGTCTGTTTCTCCTTCCTTGCAGTGATGCATCCCATTGATAAACATTCATCTGTGTCATGATAATCTATTTTTTCCCAAACAGTTTTGTGACCTGTAGCTGACTGTATGTGGATTTTAAAGTTTATGTCTCTAAGATCCAGGATCATGTCCCTGTATCTTAGCCTCTCAGCATCCACTCAAAGGCAAAAATGTAGTAAAATCGTGTGGTGTTTCTAACTAGAAAGTGTGAAGACATACTCTTTACGTTTGTTTTAGTGTGTGCATGTGGAGGTCAGAAGACAACTTGCAGGAGTCAGTTTTCTTCTGCTGCTTTGTGGGTCCTGAGGATCAAATTCAGGTAGTCAGGCTTCGTGGTGGGTGTATTTACCTTCTGAACCTCCTGCTTCTCCCTCACTAGTGCTGGGACTAAAGGTGTGCATACCATGCCCAGTATTCCTAAGTTTTTAAAGCAGGAAATAGTCATCTTGTATTTTGTTTTCCTTTGTGGCATGGTAGGGAATTGAGTGTCCACTTTTTGTTTATTTGCTAAGTCTGAATATAATCTTACTAAGAAAATCTTATCATTTCATGACCTTCTTTCTCTTGTTTGTTTTTCTTTTATAGCCAACACATACCTCTTTATGGTACAAGCTCGTGGTATCATGCTGAGAGAGAATGTGAAAACAATTGGACATATGATCAGGCTATATACGAATAAAAACACCACTCTCAATGGGACAGGTAAGGCTGTGTCCTCTTTTGCTTACCCTGGGAGTTGCACATCAGTAAACAGACCTTTTAAATTCTATTTCCTTTACCTGCTCATAGCACACTGTTAAAGAGGGAGCTGCCTCCTACTAAGTGCCCCACTAGATGATTATCAACCCCTACTACGTGTACTACTAGGTGGGTATCTTCTAAGTGTACTGCTAGGTTGGTACCCCCTACACAGTGTATTCTAGGTTGGTACCCCCTACACAGTGTATTCTAGGTTGGCATTCCCTACACAGTGTTCTGCTAGATTAGTAGGACTGTAATTTAGTTTTGGATGTACTTCTTAGTAATTTTAGGGTCTTTTAAAGAAATGAAAGGATGCATTTTATGATACTGGAAGTCAGCACCTGCTCTTTGCTGTGTGCAGTGTTAACTGAAAGTGTGTTCTTTAGTCTTGCACAAGGCTAATATCAATCTGACTCAACTAGGGATCTTCTGGTGGGAAGCAGCTGGTGTCAGTGACTTTATTTCCCTGTTGTGGAAATAAAGTCTCTTCCAGCATAATATGGGATATCACATTGATAAGATCTGTGATTGCCTCTTGAGGCACTCTTTAGGTCTTTGTTTTAAGTAGTTAAAGATATTAAAACTCTTAGTGCCACTGAAAACAAACTCAGTTCTCATCACCGTTGCCCTCCCCACACCAGAAAGCCTCTATCTCCCCCCATAGTGGGATTTTAATTTATGTCAGGTGGGTGGAAGTTTTACACCTAAAATCTGCAGATGATATATGCACTTGTAGAGAATCCATCCTACTCATTTGCCTGGGTTATTTATGATTCCCCAAATCTAAGCACTCTTACTTTCCTTTAAGCTTCGAACCTTAATCTCATTTAGAAAGACTTACTCAAGGTAACTGGCCTTTCTGAGTCGCTGGTCTCCTGCACTGGCTGGTCATATTAAAAGTTTAAACATTTGAGGAGCTTCTGTGGGCCACGGTAGTTGACGAAGTTGATTGTGAGGATTTTCACTGAAAAGTCTATTGAGCTGGAGTGTAAAGTATGTTTAGGTTACTGTATTTGTCTGTGTGAATACTAAGCATTTCATGTATCTTTTTTCCCTCTCTGGGATATGAATAAGTTTTATGTGTGGGTGTTGAGTTTGGCTGGGAGCAAGGATGACTTGAGCAAGCGGATGTTCCTGCAAAAACAAGGAAATTCTTCCTTCCCCTCTCCCAGTCATGGTTTTAATAAAGATGAAGTGACTGGGGGATACTTTGACAAAGAGTTGTTTACTTTTGGGAGCCTCTTAGAACCTTCCATAAGATTCCCTTGCTGATGGGAAATGTATTCTAGAAGACACACAAGGCATTCTTTTTCTGCGTGAGTCTCACAAGCTGGTAACCTGTGGTTGTTGTGGGGGGTCCTGAACACAAACCAAAATATATTTTTCTTTTTTCTTTTTGTTCTACCTGCCCTGCCACATTATTCTTAGTTAACTTTTAGCCCAAACTGGCTTCTAGGACTCCAGTCAGCCAACTTTCTGCTTGTTCAGTGGGTGGTGGGGTGGAGTGGGGGAGACAAAAGATACAGTCCTTGAAGGAGACTTCACAAAAGTCCCACTGTGTTCCTTCACCAGCTCACTGGCCAGAGCTAATTACATGGCTGCGGGGTGATGGGAACGAAGATGTAAAATGGTCTGAGTGAAGCTGGGGTTGTCACCCAAGGACGGGAAATAGAGTCCATTAAGGCTCTGCCAGGCTCATTTGGGCGGTGTTTATTGAGCAATTAGTATAGGTCATGCATGAGTAGATATGGGAGATGCCGTGTTAGGGAAAAAGCTTTGAATGCAGAGCCTTCCAGGCTTCTGGGAGAGATAGAGACATGATTACTAAAATTCTTATAATTATTTCTGCACAGACTTAGATAAATTTGTCAAAATTAAAAAAAAAAAAAGGAGGCCAGGAAAATGCACAAAGCTGCAAGTGAGCACCACAGGAGAACTGATCAGTACATTTATAATGTACCATGAGAAGGTAATTGTATTTGTGTGCAAGTTTGGTTTCAGAAGAGTTTCAGTGCTGTGTCTGACTGTCAGCACCATTTAGTGCAGACAGACTCGAATACTTTTGTGTAGAAGTCCTATGGTCTCACAATCAAACAATGCCTTTCTGAGTCGACTGTGTGATTGATGAAACGCTGTGCGGGGTAGAGAAGATGGATTTGTGAGAATGAACCCGGTGCACTTCCTTACTTGATGGATGCTTCAAGTGAGGCAGGCCATTGGCGGTGACCATCTACTTTTTTTAATGACAAGCACATCAGAGCTCTAATGGAGTTCCCATTCACCTTTCAGGGTTCCCTCTTGCAGAAGTGAAGCTGTGGAGAGGTGTCCTTCGGTCCCCTTCTTTTCTCTGCTCTTTCCATTTGACGGTGGTGTTGCCACATGCCTGGCACTGGGTGTGCTTCTGGGTGTGGTTCTGGGAGGGGAGGCAGGCAGGGTGCCTGGAG